GTAATTTCAATTAATACAACAAGGGAAATGCAATAAAGACCGAAATAATACTGTTCGACAAGTTTGTATAGTCACAAGCACGGCACTTTGAGATTTTTTGACTGCCTGACGTTTAGTCCCAGAACTAAACATCAGGCAGCAATTTTTTGTATGAAAAATCGTCGGAAATAACCGTAATTTCAATTTTAAAATCCTCGTTTTCTACTCTATTATCCAAAATTACAATTCTTTACCAGCTGTGCCGGGCATTTACAACGAAAATCTAAACTAATTAAACAAAAAAAATATGAGAAATGCAACATTTATTAGTTTCAAGAACTCGATTAACCATGCAATTAACACTAAAATACAAACTGGCAGACTGTTAATCCTACGTAAATGGCTATTCATATTGATCTTTTAATGACATGGGGACTATACATTTTACTGTGTATAATTTGCTTATTACACGTGCCCTGTAGGACGTGTAGTAAAATGCTGCTACTTTCTTGGTTAGACAGTTTTTTTTCACAATTTCGAAAGTTTGGCTTCGGTACATCTTCGTAGACAATCACAATTTGAATTATATATCCGGTAGCCAATCACATAACGCTTTATATTCCGAACGCTATAGCCTACCCATAATCCCTTTCACTCACATTTTAGCTCGTACTGCACATTACTGTTTCATCCGCCATTTTGATGAGTATTGTCTCTATTAGCGAATATACATTAGAACATGAGTTTACATCTAAAATCTAGCACTTATTACTCGTCTGGGTGTTAGAATCAAGGTTAATATGATGAATTATGATGATAAGGAGATCAACGGCAACGTCCGTGAAAAACGAGCAGACAAGCCAGCTATGATCGAGAAGGGTTTGTCGTACGACTTCCATATATGGTTGTGCATGTACGGCGCTGATGTGCACATAGAAGGCGCTGATGTGCTCGTATAAGTCTCTGATGTCCCAATTACGTGGAGAAGAACTTAAGACTTAAACTTAAACCGAAAAGAAATTTTTGAAGAACGAGTACTAAGATTCGAACCAGCGCTATGCATTGCCTAACCCGATATATTCCCTAAACCTAACCATTAAGCCACAAGCCCAATTCGCTTGAGTGAACATGATTTTTTGTGAAATTTATGCAACGGCATGCATGAATAACCACGCATATGTACATAAGATTGAATATATAATTAATGAACCATCTATAGGGACACGAGAGCCTTCTATAGGTACATTAGCGATATGCATATGGACATCCATATATGGAAGTCGTACGACAACCTCTACTCATCACAAAGGCGGATACAGCTGAAATTTTATCGCAAAAATCATATATATCTTGTCAAGACTCGAAGGATAAAATCATTTTATATTTTGTATCATTAAGGTTTTTGAAAGGCCTTATTTACTAACAAGAGGCCGTTATGCATGAGCATGCGCGCAACCGCTGCGTTATAACGACCATGGGCTCTAGAATACGGGTAGAATAACATTTTAGTAGSTGCGGAAGCTTCGATTCTGAACATAATTGATGTTTTTACTTATCTTCCACATTTTTCCAAACAAAACCAAGTAGATATATTTACAATGCACACGAATATCTTTCAAACTTTATATAAATTACTGTGAGTCTCGGGCTAGATTTATAACACGAAGCCACTTTGTACCGTTAAAATGTAGTGAATTATTTGTGCGCACCTTTAGCAATAATAAATGCCTAAAATGTGAATCGATTGCACTGCAATAGTTTATTTCATACTATAATGATACAGCTATAGAACTACACATAGATATTTATGATAACTTGATTCAAACAAGCTCAACTCTTCAGCCAAAAGAATGCTAAATCTGTCGTGAGTGCTCAACAGCACGTAAGAATTTGCAGAATTAACACCGTTCCACATTTTTCATAGACAAGAAAACATTATAAAACCATTTGCAAAACATAAGTCTTGATATTGGTAGCCTTATTCTAATGAGTTCTGGTGGTATATAAAAGGAAAGTAGTATTTCATGTAACAGTTATAATAATATTTAAGCGTAAATATTGTACACTTCAAGAAACTGTCGACTTTCGAACATTTCGAGGTCGATGTTACTAAACGATGCCTAATTATATTACTACATGTGTACATTTACCATTTACTTCATGACCTGCGTTGAATCTTGACCAGCACTCAGCAAAAACTGGAATAGTAGTTGCGTATATAAACCACTGCAGCCTCCATATTGTAAACACAAAGTCAATAATATCAACATTTCTTAAATAAGATTTTAAATGGTCCCAATCAGTCCAATAACGCCATTATGGCGTGTATGAGTGTTCTTGAGTCATAACAGAACATTTCAGGGTCAAAAACAGCCAAACACATTTTTGGAAATTGTCCTTCGTGTCGTTGTAATTTCTCGCTTGAAGTGAATCACTAATGAATTTCAATGAATTTTCARCAGACTGGCGCATGCGCACGCCAAACGGCCCCTTGTTTTATTTACTAATGATTTTAACAACATCGTGTACAACAATTAGGGCACGTGTAAACCCTGAATACAAGGTCTAGTTCATATTGTCCTTTATAGAATGTCTAAATACGACTAGAACATGTCTGCAACATCTCGAATTAACTGAATCTATATATTTTCTTTTTATTAAAAAAAATAAAATAATAATAATAATAATAATGCTATAACTTGGCCTTCCGGACGATAAGTATATATTCGATATATTAAATCAGCGATTTATTTTCTCATTACTAGTTGGTGGTTTCATAGAAAACCTCGATGTCATTCGGTGTAAATTGACCGCTGCCTGTGTAGAATGAGCAGTAATATTTATTATAGCTGCAGCCAGGCGGGGCTTTGTATGAATACACATGAAAAGCACTAATACTGTTACTTGATGCATAGTTAGATATGTACATGTCATGTCCACCACCGAATATAGGACCATAATCACTACCAGGATGTATAGCACTCTGTTGATCTTGTATAGGTAGCTTGAGAGGATAGTAGTCATATGTATTATACAGTGTGAACAGGAAAGCTTTGTTGGAGTACACGTAGTAGGCTTTTGAAACTATAAATAAATAAATAAATAAATAAATAAATAAATAAATAAATAAATAAATAAATAAAATATGACAAAAGAAAAAGACAAAACACTCACTAGTAAAGCTTTAGGCCAAACAGCATGTATGTCATCTTATGCACAACTTTAAGCGGTAAGAGATATCAAAATGCTGTCAGATTTTTTTTGGAAATGACTGTACGTGAAAAATACTATATTCTAACATTTCCATATACAATTTTGAACTTAGTTGATTACGGATCTATGCACAAGAAACGTACAAACGTATAGAATGCCGGTCGCAGTACCCATGCCTATACCGTGTTCAAAGTTGGTACAAAACAAATTCTCAGGCATCACGTGTCGACACTTAAATGCATACATATCGCAAAGGAATTCAGGAAGCCCAGAAACAATAATTTGGTGACTGACTAAGAACTAGACGATCTTGTAGCTGCGACAATGGTATTTCATTTTCACGATACTGTCTTTGTTTGTAATAAGTCAAGACAGAATTAAGTTAATATAAGTTATTTATTACATCATAATTTTTTACCGAACTGATCTGAACTCAAGTAATTTCTTTAGATATCATGTCTTTCTCAGTTTTCCAAAATAACTAGCTCGACTTAACGCTCTAGAGAGTCTATATTATTCAAAACATGCAAAATTATTATTATATCTGAAAGGTCATATAAATAATAGAAACGGTACAGTCTTTGCAGTTTTGTCAGTATCGTATAACTTTGAATAATATTTTGATCGTTTGAATCATGTAAGATCTTGTGTTTTTGTTCTTTTTATTTGTTGTTTTTGTTTAATTTGTAATTCATAATTTTACATCTTTTGCTCTGTGCCATCATCAAACAGGTGTACCTTCTAATGACAATAGTCTCCTTCCGCGGTTACCTTCGCAATCTTGAAAGGTAGCCGTGCCTTTGCATCGAAGCGAGACAACCGTTGTTGAGCGTGCAATGATAGAAACCTGTGAATAATTGTCTGTAGGTGTGAAAGAAGGTTTCTATCATTGCACGCTCAACGGTTGTCTCGCTTCGATGCAAAGGTACGGCTACCTTTCAAGATGGCGCAGGTAACCGTGAAGGAGACTATTCATATTTTTGGATTTGTCTATGTTTTTCAAGTTAAACAATCATCAAAACAAATTTTAATAAAGAATTAAAATGTACTTCATACACAATACAGTTGAATCTCCCGTAAGCGGACACCCTTGCGAGACGAAAAAAGTGTCTGCAAGTAGAAATGTCCGTCTAATAGAAATGGATCTTAAAACGGTTAAACAACGTCAGATAATCTTGTTTAATAATCAAAAAAGCATTCTTGGCGATTAACCGAGCGAGAGTAACTCAATGATTAATCAAATTACACAATTACAAATACTCTTTCAAGTCACGTTGAAAGAACGATGCTTTCTCAAAAGGCTGAAGGCCAGTAGAAGTAAGGGTTACTGTATGTATTTTTTGCTCGGCCTTGCAAAAAAAAAAAAAAAATACAAAAAAAAAGGCCGAAAACGACACAAAATCTGGGAGCATGCGGAACACCACGTTAAATGGCAGAGCAATAAAATATCGTTCGTTTTTGTCCTGTTCGGAAAGCGCACCAACAGAGGAGGAAGCTATGGACTAGAAGTTTCATGTGATTATGGCGATGAATTTTCGATAAATTGGATCAAATACAGACTGAAAGAAAGAAGGCCGCAACACATAACTCAGCAACTATGCATAGGCATACTGGTTATTCACAAGCTTGTTAAACTGAAAACGTATTATTCATCGTAAAAATAGATCAAATAAAAGTTATTGAATTTAAGCGCTTACGGGAGATTGAAAACAATAGAAAAGGTCAACTGGGAATCGCTAAAAGTGTCCGCGTTGGCTTACGAGAAAGTCCTCTAAATAGAAAGTATAAATACATCATTTGTATGCGAGAAAAAACGGGGTTGTGAAAAGCTGTTCGTAAGTAGAACTGTCCGCTTACGGGAGCGTCCGTAAGTAGAGATTCGACTGACTTGTATAGATTTTGTATCCAGATTTCGGTAAGCTCACACATGCGTGAGTTTTCAAGTTCAAACACATCGCCAGTTTAGAAAATGGCATCATTATTTTTCAGATGAGGTTTGATATGCTTTATTCCATCGAATGATTGTTTTCTGTCAAAGTATGAACCTTAAATATCCATGTGATTTCTTATTTTTGAAGATTTTGTGATTCACATCGAACACTAGTGTTGTGACGAAGAAGTAGTGCTCTTCGAGTCGGCGGTAGAAAATGCCCAGTCATTTCTGCACGAATCATCCAACAACCTTCAATTATATACCTCATTCCATGTCGTTTGGACGGTAATCAGTTGATTTTGTAAGATTTTTACCTCTTTAGAGTATTTTAGCTACATTTTAGACCCATTTAAAACGTGACAACTTTTTGCCGCCGTCCGTCAGCCATTTTCTTTTCTTTCTGAGACTGCAGACCATCTGCAACGCACGCGCTACCAATTTGAAGCCAAATATTCACGACGACGACGAAGAAGAAAAGCCACTTGTATTTTAGACGTGAGCTTCCACAAGAAGCCCACGTGAAAAGAAATTACATGCTTTGGGCAGTGTTGTGTAGAGACTCAGTGATAAAGGTTTGTCAAAATATATTACTTACAGTCCCATGATACATCAGAATATCCACCAAAGATGTAACTACCAACACGAACAATGGTAACTGTCGGTCCTTTGTTGTCACACTGGGGGTGGAATGTTGTAGTCACATCCCATCCATCGCTAGCAGCTCTCCAACATCTTATCCAACGACTTCTACTTGAATCTTGAAGAACAGGACTCAGATAACTGGACAGCTGCTGTAGATAGTTGTTGTTGCCATAGTCACGGAGAATACTGGAATTCTTTAGGCCTTCCGAATAAATAGATGAAATAAGAGTTAGAGTAGAGGTATTCTTACGACTTCTATATATGGATGGAATAGATACATACAGCCTTTTGCAAAAATTATGAGAATTGTTGAAATATCTAAATATCATAATATCAAGTGCATAATCCCGCGCGATGCCCTTAGTCCCTTGTCTTTGTTGTTTAGTTTTTTTGGGCGACGTACTTATCCGTAGTTCTGAACATTTTCTCGATGTCAACAACGAATTATTCTAGCAAACCCGCGTGTTCCGGACAATATATGGATATGGATATTATGATATTTAGATATTTAGACAATTCTCATAATTTTTGCAAAAGGCTGTAAATACATAAATA